CATTTACAAAGAAGATACTGACCCCAATACAGACAAAAAAGTGCTTTACAGTTAGACCTCAGTTGTTTGTACTTTGGGGACAATTGTAACTTCAAGTGACTCGACACCAAAACAGGAAAAAAAGTTATTATTTTCACAGTAACGATCTATGCAATGGAATTTTTTTAATTCAAAGGCTCGTTTTCATTTGTTTTTTTTTTTTTAATAAATGTTATTTTACTCAGGAACTCAAAACCTTAAGCCAAAATGGTACACACCTGTTGAGGCAGGTAGTTACCAGTTTGAGGAGACCTCATATCAAAACTAAAACGCAGAGGCTGTGGGAAGGTAGCTCAGTGGTAGAGCGCTTGCCTTGCATGCATGAGGCCCTGGGTTCGATTCCTCAGCACCACATAAGCAGAAAAAAAAAATCCGGAAGTGGCGCTGTGGCTCAAGTGGTAGAGCGCTAGCCTTGAGCTGAAGAGCTGAGGGACAGCGCCCAGGCCAGAGTTCAGGCCCACGACCAGACCCCTCCCCAAATAAAAAATTAAAATGTAAATGGGGGGGGGCTTCATTACATGCCCAAGGTGTGTCATCTTAAAAATGAGAGGGCTTCTGTCTCGGAGCCCCATCCTTGGGGATTCAGGAACACATGACTTAGCGAAGGAGGAGGAGGAAGAGGGAACCACAGGGAGAGAGATTTAAGTCTGTTTTTCCTGGCTGACATTGAGCACTGGACTCTACCTCCAGGTACAGGCTCCTGTACTTCTCTAAACAAATTATTTTCCTGCAAGTTAAACGTCAAGGTAGTTGATTTGCTTTGTGTTCATGGCTGCAATAAAGTAGGGCATTGAACATTTGGACATGAGCTGAAGGTTACACTAGATGTTCTGAGTACGGTAAACCTACCAAAAGATCTATAGCTGTTAGCATCTTTATCATTTAAGTGCTGCTTCTTTTTAAAAATTAGAACACTGTGCCTGGAGAGAAAGTAACTTTGCCAAGGACAACTCTAAATGTGGGGGATACTGTTAAGACCTTCTGAGAAAGTTCTTTATGATCTTTAATAAAATAAGGCAGATAGCTGGCACTGGAGATTCAGGAGTGTAATTCTAGCTACTCAGGAGGATCTGAGGAATCATGTTTTGAAGTCAGACCGAGTGGGAAAGACTGTGACTTTTATCTCTAATTAACAACCAAAAAGCTAGAAGTAGAGCTGTAATTCAAGTGGTAGCGCCTCTGTGAGTGAAAAGACTAAGGGACAATGCCAAGGCTCTACATTCAAGTCCCAGCACAGGCACAAAATAAATAAAGGCAGACACTGAAAATACAGACCTCACAGGGAGGTTACAGTGGAAGTGGTCTGGTATAATTAGCTTTGAAGGTGATAAATTGTACTCACAGTCACAAAGATATTAGATCTGAATGATAGTAAATGGCTACTAAAAGGGCCTGAAGAGAGGTCAAGATCTTTCTCCTTGGAATTTGTAGCATTCCACCTATATTCAGTCATCAACGTTCTAGCCAGTTTGCAGATGAGGCTTCTTTAGAAAACTAGTTCTCGGAAGTGGTGCTGTGGCTCAAGCAATAGAGCGAACGCCTTGAGCTGAAGAGTGCAGGGACAGCACCCACGACTGACCAAAAACAAGAAAAAGAAAACTCTAGTTCTCATACAATAACAGACTACACATACCACAAATTTGTGTCGATTTTTTTGCAAAATGGGTAGGTGTATAAAATCTCTGGAGTATGCAGAAGAAATCTAATAACCTGAGAAGAAATCTAATAGGGAAGCGTGAAAATAATGCGTGTCTGTAATCCCAGCACTGACTTTGGTATAGGCAGATAGGAGTTCAAGGCTAACTTGGGGCCACAGGGCAAGAACCTGTCACCACAAAAAGAAACAGTTTCAGGCAGGTACTGGTAGCTTATGCCTGTAATCCTAGCTACTCAGGTGGCTAAAATCTAAGGATCATGGTTCAAAGCTAGCCTGGGCAGGAAAGTCAATGAGACTCTTACCTCCAATTAACTGCCAGAAAACTGGAAGTGGCACTGAGGTGCAAGAACTGAAGAGCTCAGGGACAGCGCCCAGGTCCAGAGTTCAAGCCCCACAACCGACCAAAAAAAAAAAAAAGTTTATTAGGAAAGACTTTTTTTGGGTCAGTTGTGGAGTTGAACTCTGGGCCCGAGCGCTGTCCCTCAGCTCTTCAGCTCAAGGCTAGCGCTCTACCACTTGAGCCACAGCGCTACTTCCGGCTTTTTCTTTTCTGCTTATGTGGTGCTGACAAATTGAACCCAAGGCCTCATGCATGCAAGACAAGCGCTCTACCACTGAGCCACCTTCCCAGCCCCCTTTACAGTGCTTTAAATCAAAGACTGGCCTCTAGGAATTTGGGAGAGGCAAACACTGTGGGGAGAACAGAGGGGGTAGTACACTATTTTACCTCAGGTACATTTCAACATACAGTGTTATGGGTTTCTAATTCCCTTCTCCACTCTCAGAATAGTGGGACCAATCACAAGACCCCGCACCTATTGATCCAGGAAAGGAGAATGTGATGTGATTCTTGGGAGATAAAATGAAATGAAGGGGAATGATGAGATCCTAAACCAGATGAATGTCTATGGCTTCTTAGAAATGAGCAGGATTTTCTGGAAATCCAAGCACCTCTCCTTCTACTTGGTTTTTCCATGGATGTTTATAGCAAGTGTCAGCTCTCTTGGCACTCAGATATAGCATTTGGCAGATGGGGTAACAAGGGAGGCAAAGAGTCTGGCCACCCACTTTCTCTGGCTAGCCTACCTAAATACCCAGCTGCTAGACAGAGAGACATCCAGCCCTCACACTCAGTCACTCAGGCTGTACTCACATAACAATAGCAGCATTTTGTGAATAAGAACTATAACCAGTCTCAAGTCCATTTAAAACAAAGAGATATGAGGTTATTATTTACTGTTTTTTGAGATAGGGCCTCCCTAACCAAGGTTGGCCTTGAATTCATTATCCTTCCGTCTCAGCTTCTCTCATGCTGGGATAATGGAGATGCGCCATCACATTCAGCTCTATTTCATTATTTATACTTATTTTATATTTGCAAAGAAAATATGAGTTTCTAAAGTATTGTTTAGTCTTTCGGATAAAATTAAGCAATAAATACAGTTTCAAAGTAAAGTTGATTTAAAATTTTTTTTGGGGGGGTCCAGTTGTGGGGCCTGAACTCTGGACCTGGGCGCTGTCCCTCAGCTCTTCAGCTCAAGGCTAGCGCTCTTACCACTTGAGCCACAGGGCCACTTCCGGCTTTTTTCTTTTTGCTTATGTGGTGCCTGAGGAATCGAACCCAGGGCCTCCAGCATGCAAGGCAAGTGCTCTACCACCGAGCCACCTTCCCAGCCCCTAAAAGTCAATTTTTAATAACACAACTCTAAAGAGCTCCCTTAATAGTTTTATTTTTATTTTTTTTTTTGTCGGTCATGGGGCTTGAACACAGGGCCTGGGCGCTGTCCCTCAGCTCTTCAGCTCAAGGCTAGTGCTCTACTGCTTGAGCCACAGCATCCAGTTTTCTAGTGGTTTATTGGAGATAAGAGTCTCACAGACTTTCCTGCCCGGGCTGGCTTTGAACCATGATCCTCAGATCTCAGCCTCCTGAGTAGCTAGGATTACAGGCCTAAGCCACCGGCGCCCAGCTAATAGTTTTATTCTTAAACAAACCATGGGTTAGATGGTTGTTTGGGGTTTTTTTTGTCAGATGTGGGGGCTGAACTCTGGGCCTGGGCACTGCCTCTCAGCTCTTCAGCTCTAGGATAGTGCCCTACCACTTGAGTCACAGCACCACTTCTGGCTTTTTTCTGCTTATGTGGTGCTGAGGAATCGAACCCAGGACCTCATGGATACAAGGCAAGCACTCTACCACTCAGCCAACTTCCCAACCCTAGATGGGGTTTTCTTGGTTTTGTTTTTTTCTTTGGTGCTAGTCCTCGGACTGGAACTCACAGCTTGGACCTGCCCTTGAGCTTCTTTTTTGCTTTAGGCTAGTGCTCTACCACTTGAACCACAGTGCCACTTCCGGCTTTTTCTGTGTATATGGTGCAGAGGAATCGAACCCAGGGCTTCATGCAGGCTAAGCAAGCACTCTACCACTAAGCCACATTCCCAGCCAATAGAAAGGTTTTGTGTTTTTTTTAAGGGTATTACTGGGATTTGAACTCAGGGACTCATGCTGTCACTTGGCTATCAATCTACTCCTTGAGCTACATTTATAGCAAAGCTTTTTGTTGGGTTATTTTGGAGATAAGGATCTCAGACTTTTCTGCCTAGACTAGCTTCAAACTGGAATCCTCATATCCAGCCTCTAGAGTAGCTAGGATCACAGATATGAGCCACTGGTACCTGATTATTTTACTCTGATTTTAAGTGTCATTATATTAAGCAGTGTAGGGTAGCTTGCTACTCAAGATGCTACAATGTAAGGATCATGGTTTCAAGACAGCCCAAGCACAAAAGTCCTTGAGATTATTATCTCCAGTTAACCACTAAGAAGCCAATAAGTGGAGCTGTGGTTCAACTGTTAAGAGGGCTAGCCTTCAGTAAAACAAGAAAAGATCTGGGGGGCTGGAAATGTGGCTTAGAGGTAGAGTGCTTGCCTAGAATGTCTGAAGCCCTGCATTCAATTCCTCAGTATCACATACACAGAAAAAGCCAGAAGTGGCACTGTGGCTTAAGTGGTAGAATGCTAGCCTTGAGCAAAAAGAAGCTCAGGGACAGTACTCAGGCCCTGAGTTCAAGTCCCAGGACTGGCAAAAAAAAAAAAAATCTGGGACAGTCCCCAGTCCCCAGACTGCTGTAAAACAAAACAAAAGTCCTGGGTACCAGGCACTGGGTGGACCACGCCTATAATCCTAACTACTCAGGAGGCTGAGATCTGAGGAGCGTGGTTCAAAGGCAGCCTGGGCAGGAAAAGTCAAATGAGACCCTTACCTCCAATAAACCACCAGAAAACTGGAAGTGGCACTGTGGCTCAAATGGTAGAGCACTCTCCTTGAGCTGAAGAGCTGAGGGACAGCACCCAGGCCCAGAGTTCAAGCCCCATGACTGACCAAAACAAACAAACAAACAAACCTGACTCAAGATGACTGGAGGAGTAGAAAACCTACCCAGCATGCGTGGGGCCTAGGTTCATGTCCTAGTACTGCAAAAATCAAACAATCAATGACTCTCCCCAAGCTGGGCATGGTGGCCACTCATGCCTGTAACCCCAACACCTGGGAAGCAGAAGAAGATCTGTATGAGTTCTAGGCTAGCCTGGGCCATGCAAAAGGCCAAATGATTCCCTGAAGAGAGCTGGACATGCTGAAAAGAGAGCTGGGGGAATAAATTGAACTCTTATTTCTTAATCATTGAGGCTTTTTTTTTTTTCCAGTCCTGGGGCTTGAACTCAGAGCCTAAGGACTTGTCTCTGAGCTTCTTTTGCTCAAGGCTAGCACTCTACCACTTGAGCCACAGTGCCACTTCCAGCCTTTTCTGTGTATGTGGTACTGAGGAATCGAGCCCAGGGCTTCATGCATGCTAGGCAAGCACTCTACCACTGAGCCACATTCCCAGCCTGAGGCTGACTTTTCTGCATCTGTCTTTTAGGATAAGAAAAGTGCTGAAGCTTCCAATTCAGACATGGAGATGCAATGCGAGCCGCTGCCTACCTGTGTGAACCCGGGCAACCCAGTGTTCTCTTGCATGCTGGACCCGAAGTCACTCTGTTCCACCACCTCACTCTCCAAACCCAAGATGATTATGTATAAAACCAACTCAAGCCACTATGGTGAATTTTTACCAATGCCACAGTTTTTTCCCTGCAATTACACTCCAAAGGAGTACAAATTTTCCAACCATATCAGAGCGACTGGGATGTATCAAAATAACAGTCTAAATACTGCCCCTGATAGAACCAGAACCCTCGATTGTCCTAATTTTCAACATACATTGTGAAAATAAACTCCCTTGACAACTTAAGATGAAACAGATTCGTAAAAATGATTTTTCAATCTAGGGCTTGTGCCTAAATTTAGAATATAAAAAGATTTGAATACAATTTTTTAAAGTAAACCAGTTTTTGTATTGTTTTCTGAAACAAGGTTTAGTTGTGTACCCTAGAGTGGGCCTTTTCTCCTGATTCTCTAGCCTCAGCCTCTTGAAGGCAGGCTTATAAGAAAAAATGGGAAGGTGACTCAGTGGTAGAGTGCTTGCCTTGCATGCATAAGGCCCTAGGTTCTACTCCTCAGCACCACATAAGCAGAAAAAGCAATGCTGTGGCTCAAGTGGTAGAGCACTAGCTTTGATCTGAAGAGCTGAGGGACAGTGCCCAGGCCCAGAGTTCAAGCCCCACAACCAACCAAAAGAAAAGAAAAAATCAATGTCTCATAGCTTAATATTTAAAATTATGAATTAGAACATTACAACAGCTTAAAGGTGTGTTTGTGTGTGTTGGAGGCAGGATTTTGCCATGTCGCGAAAGCAGCCTCATACTCAAGATTCTCCTGCCTCAGCCTCCCAAGAGCTGAATTATAGGTGGGTACCACCACATCCCGTACCAGCCTAAAGATGGTAATTTTGGTTGAGCCTCTCTGTGCATCAAGCAGGAGTACCTACTTCTGCTTTGCTTCTCCCTACTTCATCCTGTTTTGCTAAATAAATCTTAGTAGAAAAAATTTAAAAAAAATTAATTTTGGCCTTTTTTGTTTGTGGTGCTACATTTCCTTCAAACCTATGACCTTACAGAAGTTTGGCAAGTACTTTACCACTAAACTCCATCTCCACACCCTTAATTGCCTTTATTTTGGGCTGTCAGGAAGCTCTTCCTCTATAAAATAGAGTATGTGTTCCACGCAGAAGAGGTTGGTTTTATAAACAGAAAAAAAAAAAAAAAGAGAGAGAGCAGAGACTGCCCGGGATGTGGCTGTGTGGGAGAGGCTTGCTTGGCAGTCCTGGATAACTCCTGGGGCTGTCCCCAAGGCTACAAAAAAAAAAAAAAGCAAAATAAATTTAAAAAAACTAATTTGTCTTTTCAAAGTTACTTTAATTTTTAAAGCAGAAGAAAGAAATAAAGAGGTTTTATTGAGAGAGAGAGAGAGAAAAAGAGTGTGTGTGTGTGTGTGTGTGTGTGTGCGCGCGCGCGCTGGAGCTTGAACTCAAGGCCTGAATGCTGCCCAGGAGCTTCTTTGCTCAAGACTACCACTTGAGTCACAGTTCCACTGTCAGCTTTTTGGTGGTTAAATAGAGATAAGAGTCCTTTAGACTTTGAACAGAGATCCTCAGATCTCAGCCTCAAGAATACCTAGGATTATAGGTGTGAGCCACCAGCACTGGGCCTCAAATTTGATTTTTATTCTCTTATCAGAAGATCAGATAAATTGATTTGGGTTTGAAAACTTTGAGCTTTATCCTAACTGCTCCATTTTGATTTTTAGTGTCCTCTCGGTTGAGGCAGAGACCAAAACAATGGCCTCTGTGGTTTTTGTTTAATGTAAGTAGGTGTTCTGTTTCCTTCAGTCTCCTGAGCATGGCTAATGTAGACTGGGTCCTCAAGAGATGTGTCACAGCCCTTGATGGATGTATGTGTGTGTGTGTGTGTGTGTGTGTGTGTGTGTGTGTCAATTATTTATTTATTTATTTACTATTGGTCATGGGGTTTGACCTTGGGGCCTAAGTGCTGTCCCTGAGCTCTTCTGCTCAAGGCTAGTGCTCTACCACTTTTTTTGGGGGGGGAGGAAGGTCCGGTTGTGGGGCCTGAACTCTGGGCCTGGGCGCTGTCCCTCAGCTCTTCAGCTCAAGGCTAGCGCTCTACCACTTGAGCCACAATGTAACTTCTGGCTTTTTTTGCTTATGTGGTGCTGAGGAATCGAACCCAGGGCCTCAGGCATGCAAGGCAAGCGCTCTACCACTGAGCCACCTTCCCAGCCCCCAGCATTTTATTTTTTAAAAAAGGAAGTTATGCAGTTGTGTGTAGTGCTTACATAATAACAATGATACAGCACCCACGTTTGTGTACTCCAACAAATACACAACATGTACAGTGATGTGTCAGCCTTTGCTCTTCTGTTTATGAAATCAACAGCCTCTCAGCTCAAGGGAATATTCTATTTTGTGGAGTTAAGCACTGCTAGTCTAAAATCACAAAGCCAATCAAGGTCTGTAAACTAAATTTGTTTTTTGTTATTGTTTGTTATTTTGGACAGAGTCTCACTAAATTACCTTATCTGGCCTTGAACTTGAATTCTCCGGTCCTCTGCCTCCCTTGTGCTGTACTGGCCTGTACCACCCAAGGTGCTTAATTTTTAAATTTTTTTACTTTTTGGTGCCAGTCCTAGGGCTTGAACTCAGAACCTGGAAGCTATCCCAGAACTACTTTTGCTCAGGGCCAGTGCTCTGCCACTAGAGCCACAGCTCCAATTCTGGCTTTTTTGTTTGTTTAGGGGGGAATAATTTATTGCAAATAAGAGCCTTACAGACTTTCCAGCCCCAGCTGGCTTTGAACCACACTCTTCAGATCTCAGCCGCTTGAGTACCTAGGATTACAGGACTGAGCCACTGGTGCCTGGCTTTAAATTTGTTTTTTGACAGCAGCCTATAAGGACAGTTTGAGATATGATTTTAAGTACCTGAGTACAGGTCAATTTCCAATTAACCTCCAAAAAGCAGATATAAGTAGAAATGTGGCTAAAATGGTAGAATACCAGCCTTGAGCAGAAAAGCTCAGGGACAGTGCACAGGCCCTGAGTTCAAGCCCTAGGGCTGGCACATGCACGTGTGTGCATACACACACACACACACACACACACACACACACACGCACACACACACGTTCACTGTATTTGGAAACTAAACATTTACCAGTATCTACTATAGTAAAGTCAATGTTTCAGACAATAATCAATTTAATATCAACAAATACTTTACACAAATACAAATTTTATTTTAATATTCTTTCTTGTTAAAAATTAAGTATCCTGGTCACATACCAGCAGCAATTTTTGAGCAAGTGTAATTCAAAACCAACAAAACTGGATAAGTAAGCCAGGCACCCTGGCTCATGCTTGTAATCTTAGTACTCAAGAGTTAAGATCCAGCTGGGAAGGTGGCTCAGTGGTAGAGTGCTTGCCTTGCATGCATGAGGCCCTGGGTTCGATTCCTCAGTACCACATAAACAGAAAATGCTGGAAGTGGTACTGTGGCTCAAGTGGTAGAGCTGAGCTGAAGAGCTGAGGGACAGTGCCCAGGCCCTGAGTTCAAGCCCCATGACCGGAAAAAAAAAAATTAATTCAAGAGCTGAGATCCAAGGATAGTGGTTTGAAGCCAGCCTAGGCAGTAAAGTCCATGAGACTCTTATCTCCAATTAACTAGCAAAAGGCCAGAAGCAGAGCTGTGGCTCAAGTAACAGAATACCAGCCTTGAGCAAAACAGTTAAAGGAAACTAGGGGAAAGAAAAGAAAGAGGTGGGGCTGGGAAGGTGGCTCAGTGGTAGAGCGCATGCCTTGCACGCATGAGGCCCTGGGTTCGATTCCGCAGCACCACATAAGCAAAAAGAAAAAAGCCGGAAGTGGTGCTGTGTCTCAAGTGGTAGAGTGTTAGCCTTGAGCTGAAGAGCTGAGGGACAGCACCCAGGCCCAGAATTCAGGCCCCACGACCAGACCCAAAATCAAAATTAAAAAAAAAAAGAAAGAAAGAGGTAACATTGTTCAAAAAAACAATTACATTCATTACCTGACTTATGAAATGGTAACCTTTATGTACAACACCTCAGTAATAACAATTTTATATATTTAAAAGCTAAAGGAGAGTGTCCTGGCCCTGAGTTCAAGCCCCAGTACCAGCAATAAACAACTTAAAAATATAATTAAGCTGTTTCAAATATGAAGGATTAAAATATTGTGATTTGGATTTTCTTTTGGAAGAATCAAAGAAATACTTCACATTCAACAGATTCATAATATTTTGTCTTCTAGAGAACTAAAATACTCCACAGTAGGTTATCCTACAAATGGACATATATACAAATGGATATGTACGGTTTCCCAATGTGTCTAATGAAACTTCAAAATAATGCCTAGTACTCTACCTAGCTGTTTCTAGTCGCAAGAGTTGACTTCTGTTCCTTGAATTATACTCCGAATCTTCTCTGCATCATGTTGTACTATTTCGTTGGCTGGGTCAATCTTAAGTGCAGCTTCATAATCCTGCAAACCTATGTAGATAGCAAAGAGGGGAGATAAAAGAAGTGGCCCTGTGGCTCCAGTGGTAGAGCGCTAGCCTTGAGCTGAAGAGCTGAGGGACAGCGCCCAGGCCCAGAGTTCAGGCCCCACAACTGGACCCAAAAAAAAAAAAAAAAAATTAGCCAGGTGCTGGTGACTCATGACTGTAATCCTAGGTACACAAGAGGCTGAAATCTCATGATCACAGTTCGATGCCAGACCAGGAAGAAAAACCTAAGATTTTATTTTTTTGGTCGGTCGTGGGGCCTGAACTCAGGGCCTGGGCGCAGTCCCCCAAGCACTTCAGCTCAAGGCTAGTGCTCCACCACTTGAGCCACAGTACCACTTCCAACCTTTTCTGCTTTTGTGGTGCTGAGGAATTGAACCCAGGGCCTCATGCATGCAAGGCAAGCACTCTACCACTGAGCCACCTTCCCAGCACCCCTAAGAGATTCTTTTTTGTTGTTATTGTCGTTGTTGTTTTGCCAGTCCTGGGGCTTGAAATCAGGGCCCGGGCACTGTCCCTGAACTTCTTTTCCTCAAGGCTAGCACTCTACCACTTGAGCCACAGCATCCCTTCCAGCCTTTTCTGAGTGGTTTATTGGAGATAAGAGTCTCACAGACTTTCCTCCCCAGGCTGGCTTGGGGAGATTTCAGCCTCCTGAGTAGCTAGATTATAGGTGTGAGCCACCTGTACTGGACCGAAGAGATTCTATCTCCAATTAACCAGCAAAAAGTCAGAAGTAGAAGTGTGATGCTAGTGGCAGAGCACCAGGTTTGAGTGCAAAAGCTAAGGGACAGCACCCAGGCTCTGAGTTCAAGCCTCAATACTGGTACAAAAATAAATAAACAAATAAATAAATAAAAATAAATGCTATGGCTTCTAAATCCCTGGGTATAAATGACAGATCATAGTACAGTAACACAAATACAAATAACATTTATATTTAAGAGTGTGTGGATGTGTTTACAGGGTCTATCTCAGGTGAATTCCTTGTACCAATTACCACATACCTATCTGATAACATCTGATAACATGGCATTTTCCTGGTCTCACGCAGCTCACACCTTGCTCTAACTCCATTCTACAATGAATGGGCCTATTTAGTTAATTTTTTTTTTTTTTTTTTGTCGGTCGTGGGCCTTGAACTCTGGGCCTGGGCGCTGTCCCTCAGCTCTTCAGCTCAAGGCGAGCGCTCTACCACTTGAGCTACAGCGCCACTTCCGGTTTTCTGGTGGTTTATTGGAGATAGGAGTCTCAGGGTCTCTCCTGCCCGGGCTGGCTTTGAACCGAGATCCTCAGATCTCAGCCTCCTGAGTAGCTAGGATTACAGGCGTGAACCACCAGCGCCCGGCCCTATTTAGTTAATTTTATTTTTATGTTCTGAGCCTTGAACTCAGGGCCATGCATATGCTCAGTTACTGAATCTATCACTCATCCACATCCCTAGCCCTACTTTTTTCTTTTTTTTTTTTACTTCCTTGCTCAGGGTTGGTGCTTTCCCACTTAAGCCATGCTTCCAGCTCAGCTTTTATGCTGGCTGTCTTGGAGATGGTATCTCTCACACATTCCAGCCCTGGCTGCCTTTGAACTGTGACCTTCCAAGTAGGTCTCAGCCTCCTCAGAATCAAAAATTATAGGAATGAGTCACTAATGCCCAGCCCTAGAAATTTATTTATTTATGTGTTTATTTATTTATTTATTGCTGGCCCTGAGCCTTGAACTCTGGGCCAGGATCCTGTCCTTAAGCTCTTTTTGCTTGAGCTCTTGAACTGTAGCTCTACTTCTGGGTTTTTCTGTGATTAATTGGAGTTTCTAGGGCTTGCTTGCCCTGGGCTTGCTTTAAATCGGAATCCAGAGCTCTTAACCTCCAGAGTAGCTAGGATTACAGGCATGAGCCACCAGCACGTGGCCAGCCCTATGATATTTTTTCTTTTTCCTTTTTGTTGGTCATTGGGCTTGAACTCTGGGCTCGGGTACTGTCCCTCAGCTCTTCAGCTCAAGGCAAGCACTCTACCACTTGAACTGTAGTGCCACTTTGGGTTTTCTGGTGGTTAATTGGATTTAAGAATCTCCGGGCCAGGCTAGGTGTCAGTTGCTCTCGCCTGTAATCCTAGCTACTCAGGAGGCTGAGATCTGAGGATCACCGTTCAAAGCCAGCTGAGCAGGAAAGTCCCTGAGACTCTTATCTCCAATAAACCACTAGAAAACCGGAAGTGGCCCTGCGGCTCAAGGGGTAGAGCGCTGGCCTTGAGCTGAAGAGCTGGTATCCAAGCCCAGAGGTGAAGCCCCACTACCGACCAAAAAAAAGAGAAGAGTCTCATGGATTTGCTTGCCCGGGCTAGCTTTGAACTTTAATCTCAGCTTCCTGAGTAGCTGGCTAGCCCTTTGATTTTTACAATATAACTTTAAAATCACCTATATTTTACTACAAATAAAATGTAATGAGTCCTGAAGGGTCATGATCTTAAATAATCTCAATGACTTTTCTTTTTTTCAGAGTAAGCTGGAAGCTAAAACATTTCTTTTGCTGGATACAAGTAATCCCAGCATCTCAAATCAAGAAGCAAAGCAAATGCCAGGTGCTGGTGGCTAACATCTATAATCCTAGCTACTCAGGAGTTGAGATATAAGGATCAAGTTTGTAGCCAGTCCAGGCAGGAAAGGCCAAAGAGACTCTTATCTCCAATTAACCTTCAGAAAACTGTAAGTTTTCTTGAGCTGTGGTCGAGCACTAGGCGCTAGGCACTAGGCTGTGAACTAAAGGGCTCAGGGACAGCGCTCAGGCCCTGAGTTTAAGCACCACTACAGTGAAAAATGAAATAAAAAAATGAAACAAATCACATTTCTATAGATGTCTTACCTTCTACATACAATTCTAACTGACAGAATGCTGTTCCCCGGCGTACATGTGCCTTCATTCTTGCATTAGCATTGTCCTTAACTGGTGGTGTCAATAATTCCAGGGCCTGGCAAAAGAAAACAACCCCCCCAAAAAACATACATATATACTTGTGTATGCATATGCATATGCAAAGATATAACTTTCCAATTTAAGTGTGAACAAAATCTAAGTAACAACTCTTAAGAGAAGCCTGTGACATGGCCAAGAGATTTATTACCTTCTTTGAAGACATTTGGCCCCTAGTTCAGGCTCAGAACCACAACAGAAAAAGACAAGCCTCAAGCAGGAATTCATCAATGCATATATTGATACACTGATAAAAGGTCTGATCTCTGACCAGGCTTATTACTTGAAATCCACCACAGGGATAATTAAATAGCATTTGTGGTCTTTCGCATTCAAAATGAGTGATGTCTTTTTTTTTTTTTTTGCCAGTTGTGAGGCTTGAACTCTGGGCCTGAGGCCACTGTCCCTCAGCTCTTCAGCTTAAGACTAGTACTCTACCACTTGAGCCACAGCACCACTTCCAGCTTTTTGTGCTTAATGTGGTGCTGAGGAATCAAACCCAGGTCCTCATGCATGCAAGGCAAGCAACTGAGACACTGTAGTACCAGGCCATAGATTTCCCCCAAAGACCACCAGGGAGCCGTCCCAGATGTAAATGAACTAGAGTCGTTTTATTACAGCTTGAGCCGGACTCACAAATCTTCCCTAATGTAGCAGGTTCGAAATGTGAGCCCCGACCCCCTGTCCAGCAGGGTTTTTATAGGGAACCATGAAGCAGAGAGAGGGATCATTACAGCATTGGTTGTATGGGGTTATGTGATTGGTTGGCGATTCACCAGTAAACCTGTCTTAAACTCATTAGTTGGGGCATATCATTTCTAGTAAGGGCAGGGGCTTTCCAACTTAGAGGCTTGGGTAGGGGTAAGCAGATAAGCAGGGCTAACTACAGGAATGCTGATTCATTTCCCTGTCCTAAATTGCTTCCTGACAGGGTTGGGGGTAGCTGATCAGGGGATCAGGGCAGTCTGACCTCTTGGACTGTGCTGATACGTTACATTGTCTTATCCTCCGGTAAACAGATGACAGATGTTTTCCTTATAGTTTCCTTACTGCCAACTTATTTCTGTTCTCTTACCACCTTCCCAGCACCAAAGAGGGATGCTTTTTTTTTCTCTTGTATTGTGTTTGTTGTTTTTGCCAGTTCTAGGCTCCAATTCTGGGCCGGTCGTGGGGCCTGAACTCTGGGCCTGGGCGCTGTCCCTCAGCTCCTCAAGGCTAGCGCTCTACCACTTGAGCCACAGCACCACTCCCGGCTTTTTTCTTTTTGCTTATGTGGTGCTGAGGAATCAAACCCAGGGCCTCATGCATGCAATGCAAGTACTTTACCCAGCCCGCTTCCTGAGCTTTTTGTGCTCAAGGCTAGTATTCTACCACTTGAGCTGCAGGGCCACTTCCAGCTTTTTCTGAGTAGTTTACCGTAGATAAGTCTTTTAATGGGATGGAATGTGGCTTAGTGGTGGAATGCTTGCCTAGCATGCATGAGGCCCTGGGTTCAACTCCTCAGTACCACATAAATAAAAAAAAAAAAAAAGTTAAGGGAGAGAGAAAAAAAGAAAGGAACTCTCAGATTTGTCTATCTAATCTGGCTTCCAGCCAAGTTCCTCAGATCTCAGCCTCCTGAGTAGCTAGGATTACTGGCGTGAGCCATCTGCATACAACAAACCACATCAAATCACCTCACAAATAGAAATCACTATACATAGAGAGGTACATATATACCTTCGAAGAATCTTCAATGGCCTTGTGTAAGTTTTTCAGTTTTAGGTGGCAAGCAGCCCGATTCAGATACAAGAGTGGAATCTTGTTGTTTAGTCTTATGGCTAAATTGTATGCATTAATGGCTGCCAGATAGTTTTCTGTGGCAAACAATTTGCTAGTGAGACAAAAACAGAAAAACAACAGCATTGAAACATTAATTCAAACAGAAATAATATTTAGAGCTATTTGACAATGGGACAGCTCACTTTTTTTTGTAAGGTGGAGACTGTTAGCTGACTAATCCCAACTCCCTAGAACACCAGCATGTAGTGAGAATTGGATGCCCCCCATGCTGTCCCGATGGGGCCATGGATTGTTTAATCTGCTGGGCAGATTTCCATCCCCCTTGCTACACTGAGTGACTGACCCGAGGATGGGATTGTGACCTACACTGGTCTATTCAGAAAGAAACTTGAGGTGGGGGGAGGAGGACTGGGGTTCCAGGCAGAGAGCCTGAAGAGCAGGGGCAAGGCCCCCGGGGGTCCCTCCCTAGCACCACAAGACAAAGAGAAACAATGAAGCTTATCACTTTGGTTTCACTGGTAGAGGATGGAAAGTTGGGAAAACTCTTTCCCCAACCAGATAAAGAAAACACAAAGCCTAAATTGTGATTCACTTTCCACACCATGGCAGAAGCTAGAACGAAACATGAATTAAATATGAAAGGAATTTTTAAAAAAGCACATAAAAAAAAAACTGAGCACTTGCCCAGTTGGAATACAAACTAACCTGCAAAACCAAGCTTTACCTGCAATGTAAAATGACTTCAAGGTTTGGGATACTTGAACCAATAAATGCTTTTGAATAAAAAGTCGGTGTCAGCCAGGTGCCAGTGGCTCATGCCTGTAATCCTAGCTACTCAGGAGGCTAAGATCTGAGGATCACGGTTCAAAGCCAGCCCAGGCAGGAAAGTCCACGAGATTGATTGATTGATTGATTTCCAATAAACCACTCAGAAAACCGGAAGTGGTGCTATAGCTCAAGTGGTAGAGCACTAGCTTTGAGCTGAAGAGCTGAGGGACAGCGCCCAGGCCCAGAGTTCAGGCCCCATGACCAAAAAAAAAAAAAGTTAGTCAGTGTGCATGCCTGTAATCCAGCATTTAGGCAATAGAGGCAGTAGATCACAAATTCAAGGCCAGCCTGGGCTACATAGTGAGACCTTATCTCCAATTAAAAAGAGTCCCAGGGGAGCCCAGGCACTGGTGGCTTATGCCTATAAATTCTAGTTACTCAGGAGGCTGAGATCTGAGGTCACAGTTCAAAGGGGCTTAAACTCAGGGCCTGGGCACTCTCTCTGAGTTTCTTTTGCTCAAGGCTAGCACTCTACTACTTGAGCCACAGCACCACTTCTGGCTTTTTCTGTTTATGTGGTACTGAGGAATGGAACCCAGGGCTTCATGAATGTTAGGCAAGCACTCTACCACTAAGCCATATTCCCAGCTCCAGTCCGTGAAACTCTTATCTTCAATAAACCACCAGAAAACAAGAAGTGCCGTGGCTCAAAGTGGTAGAGCACCAGACTTGAGCAAAAGAGCTCGGGGACAATGCCCAGGCCCTGAGTTCAAGCCAGATAGAAGACTGATCAAAAACAAACAAACAAAAAGTGCCAGGTAAAATAAAAGGACATCTGATATACAGATGGAATCCAGCTACAGGAAACTCAAAACCATGAGCACACAGAAAATCAGCCTGGTGCATATGTGTACTGTAGTAGTCAGAGGGAAAACTACTGCCTTCTCAGTTACGATTGGCCAGCAGAATTAACTTGGTAGGAAAACCAAAAGCAAAGCCTCTGTCCTAAAATGACCGGGTTATCTGGCAGGCGCTAAGACCTGGCACTTAGAGAGACTGAGAGGGGGTCTGGACACTACAATTGGAGTAGAAGGGGAATTTATGAAATATCAGTAATAGGAAGGAAATTAGGAGTTAGATTATAGGGTTTGATAGCCTTAATTTCCACCCACTCATGTTAGAATTTGTCTGAGGTATGGAAATGAGATGTAAGCAGATCCAATATGGGGAAAGAAAGCATTTTTTTTCTATTGTCAGTACCACTCAGGGATTTGTGCTCATTTGACTTGCTCCATTGGCTGGTGCTCTACCACATGAGCCATGCATCCAGCCCAGCTTTTTGCTAGATATTTTGGAAATGGAGTCTCAGGACTTTTCTGTCTGGGCTTGTGTCTGAGATCCTTTGGATCTCATACTCCCAAGTAGCTAGGATTATTGGTATAAACTGGAATTGTTCAGTTAAGATACAGAACTTATGATAGAAATCATGCGCAAAGTAATGGCAAAATGACAGAACAATGGCCCTTCTCCCTTCTATAATTACAAGTTTCAGGAAGGGTAGCTATTAAAGTTATTTACAGAGTCTGAGTCATGGAAAGCTGTTAAACACCATTATACCATGCACATACCTAAATTAGAGCATCTAGACTTTGATTGTATGTGTGTATACGCATGCACATACCACATGTACAACAGTATGGAGGTTCAACTTAGGGCCTTATACTTGTTCAGCTGGTTTGGCTGGCAGTCTACCACTTAAGCCACACCTCCTCTAGTTATTTTGGAGATGAACTCCTTCAGACTTTCCTGACCGGGCTAGCTTCAAATGATGATCCTCAGATCACAGCCTTCTGATGAGCTAGGGTTACAGGAGTAAGCCATAGGTATCCAGCTAAATGCTTTCTTAAAATTACCCTGGGGGCTGGGCGCCAGTGGCTCATGCCTGTAATCCTAACTACTCAGGAAACTGAGATCTGAGGATCATGGTTCAAAGCCAGCCCAGGCAGCAAAGTCCGTGGGACTCTTATCTCCACTTAACCACCAGAAAACTGAAAGTAGTGCTGTGGCTCCAGCAGTAGAGCACTAACGTTGAGCTGAAGAGCTCAGGGACAATGCCCAGGCCCAGAGTTCAAGCCCCATGACCCACAAAAAAAAAAAAATTACCCTGGGGGCTGGGAATGTGGCTTGTCTAGCCTTCATGAAGCCTTGAGTTCCATTTCTCAGTACCATGTAAACAAAAAAGCTGAAAGTGGTGGTGTGGCATTGCTAGCCTTGAGCAAAAAAAGGTCAGGGTCAGTGCCCAGGCCCTGAATTCAAGCCCCAGGACTGGCAAAAAAAAAAAAAAAAAGATTTATCCTGGCTCTGCCCTGAGAACAGGGCCCTCTCCACCGAGCTAATCACTGAGGCCCTCACCTCCCAGGGAGAGGGGACCGGCATTCTCCAGGCTCTTTTCTGCTGGCTTCACTCTCACATCAAAGTCATCATTCTCTGGGACTCATGACATCACCCTACACAGCCTACATCGGACTCAAATTCACACTCCCCCTGCCATGGCCTCCCAGGTCTGTAGGCGTGGGCCATCGATGAGACAGACTCCATAGAGGTTTTTTTTTTGGTCCGATCGTGGGGCCTGAACTTCTGGGCCTGGGTGCTGTCCCTCAGCTCTTCAGCTCAAGGCGAGCGCTCTACCACTTGAGCCACAGCGCCACTTCCGGCTTTTTTTCTTTTTGGTTATGTGGTGCTGAGGAATCGAATCCAGGGCCTCATGCATGCAAGGCAAGCGCTCTACCACTGAGCCACCTTCCCAGCCCCTCCATAGTGGTTTGGTTGTGGTTGTCTTCTCATTTCCCAGGAATGCCTGGGCCTCATGCACGCTAGACAAGTGCTCTACCACTCACCCACATGCCAGCATTTCAGGTCTGTGCAAACATCCCATTTAACAATCTAACTTAGACATGAGAAAACCTAGTTATCTTTTTAAAAAATGGATATGAGTATTCAAGAGTTCTAAGAGTATATTCCATAAGTCAATATAAGTACAATGTTTCTTGATCAATGTCACACCTTCCTTCATTCTCCCTGATTTGTTCCCCTTAGATATTTTCACTTTTTTTTGGGGGGGGTCTGGTTGTGGGGCCTGAACTCTGGGCCTGGGTGCTGTCCCTCAGCTCTTCAGCTCAAGGCTAGCGCTCTACCACTTGAGCCACAGCGCCACTTCCAACTTTTTTCTTTTTGCTTATGTGGTGCTAAGGAATCGAACCCAGGGCCTCAGGCATGCAAGGCAAGCACTCTACCACTGAGCCACCTTCCCAGTCCATATTTTCATATTTTTATAACCATTTAAAACAAAAAATAAGAACTGTACTCAGTCACTGTACTATGAGCTTCTTCTTTTTTTTTTTTTTGTCAGTAGTGGGGTTGAACTCTGGGCCTGGGTGCTGTCCCTAAGCTCTTTAGCTCAAGGCTAATGCTCTACCACTTGAGCCACAGCACCACTTCCTGTTTTTTGGTGGTTTATTGGATATAAGTCTCACAGCATTTCCTGCCCGGGCTGGCTTTAAACTGCAATCCTCAGATCTCAGCCTCCTGAGTAGCTAGGATTGCAGGCGTGAGCCACCAGCGCCCGGCACTATGAGCTTCTTGAACACAGGGCCTGCCTACCTAGTTTGCTTATTCGTATTCACTCCCCCATAGTAGACACACATGAAAACACAAGGGGCAGAAGAGACGGAGAAGGTGCTAAGTACTAGTGTCCACGCACATTAGCAGCCTCGTGGGCAGAGCCCAAACAACTTACTTTCCTTTTTCCTTCAACCAGTCTGGATTCTTTTCTTCTTCTTTTAAATCACAAAATTCAGGAATATCAGTGTTCATTGCTCTTCTCGCCTCAGCTTGTTTGTGTAGCCACTGAAACGAGGGAAAGTTTCAGGAAGGATACTGATTTTGTCCACGTTGTGTTTCTATAACAAAACACCCACGGCTGGCTACGTTATAAAGAGGTTGGTTTTGCTGCTGGAAATCTAAGACTGAATGCCCCCATTTAGTCAGGTTTTGGTGAGAACCTTCTGGCTGTGTTCTAGTATGGTAAATGGCATCAACTGGCTGGAGGGTGTGCAAGGAAGAAGATGGGAGAGAGGGGCAAAGGTTAGCCTCACCCTCTTGCTTGGCTTTTCCACCTCTGCTTGGTGTGCTACCACTTAATCTATGCTTCCATTTCCAGCTTTTTGCTGATTAATTGGAGTTGCTTGGATTTTTCTGCTGGCTTTGAATCTGGATCCTCACATCTCAGACTCCTGAGCAGCTAGAATTACAGACGTGATCCACTGGCAACCAGCTGTTTTAGATTTTCAATGTCCCCCAAAGACCTGTGTGCTAAAGGCCTGGTCACCAGCCTGTAGCACCGTTGCCAGGTGATGGCACTTGAGGAGGCAGAGCCTAGTAAGAAGGAAGTTAGGTCAATGGGGGTTTAAACTTAGAAGGGCATTTCAACCCAGATCCTTCCTTTCTCTCTGCTTTGGAGTTGCGCCACCGATGGTGCTCTAACATTTGAGCCAGTCCCCTAGTTCTGCTGTGTCAAGGATTTGTCTGCCATGGCTGGCTTTGAACTGCGATCCTCAGATCTCAGCCTCCTGTGTAGCTAGGATTGCAGGTGTGAGCCTGGCAACAATACTATCTGTTAGTATTCTCTCATGGTTTTTTGTTTTTTTGGGTTTTTTTGGTCATGGGACTTGAACTCTGGGCTTGGGCGCTGTCCCTCAGCTCTTCAGTTCAAGGCAAGCGCTCTACCACTTTAGCCACAGCACCACTTCCAGTTTTCTGGTGGTTAATTGGAGATAAGAGTCACACAGCCTTTCCTGCCCAGGTTGGCTTTGAACTGCGATCTTCAGATCTCAGCCTCCTGAGTAGCTAGGATTATAGACGTGAGATACAGGTACCAGCTTCTCATGAATATTCTAGAGCCAAAAATAAAATTTTTCTCATAAGGAAATACTAAAACATATTAATGAAGTAGTATCTTTAAAAAATACCTAGGAAATCCAGAGCTAGTACTAATTTCAGTGGTTGAAATGAGTGAAGCATTTTCATTGCTGGTAGCTATATGAAAAGCAAAATATACTTACCTCTTCTTCTTCTGCTACTTGTGACTCCCGGAGAGCTGTGGGGAACACTCTAGGGGTAAAGTTGATTTTAATACTGCCAACAGAGCGAGGGGCAGGAATGCTGGATTCCTGTAATGCTTCAGCAAATATATCCTCTGAATTTCTCCCTTCAAAAGTAAGGGTATCAAGTAAGGTGTTACTTATCTTCTAGCTAAAACTGATTTTTAAGGTAATTACACATAAGCTCGGTGGCTCCTGCCTGGGCAGAAACACCTGTGAGACTCTTTTTTTTTGCGGGGGGTGGGGAGGGTCCGGTTGTGGGGACTGAACTCTGGACCTGGGCGCTGTCCCTCAGCTCTTCAGCTCAAGACTAGCACTCTACCACTTGAGCCACCTTCCCAGCCCAGCCTGTGAGACTCTTATCTCCAATAAACCACTCAGAAAACCAGAAGTGGCGGTATGGCTCAAGTGGTAGAGCGCTTGCCTTGAGCGGAAGAGCTGAGGGACAGTACCCAAACCTAGAGTTCAAGCCCCACAACTGACCAAAAAAAGAAAAAAAAATAATTACACATCAAAGCTAATTCTATAATCCTAAACAAATAAGCCAAAGGCATCATTTGCAAAAATAAAAACGGAAATCATCATTGATAATATGGTGGCTAACCTGTCACTGTCACAGTGACCCCCCACTACTTTTCTGGAATTCTTGTTTTTTTGTTTTTTGGGTCCGGTCGTGGGGCCTGAACTCTGGGCCTGGGCACTGTTCCTCAGCTCTTCAGCTCAAGGCTAGCGCTCTACCACTTGAGCCACAGCTCAACTTCCAGCTTTTTTCTTTTGCTTATGTGGTGCTGAGGAATTGAACCCAGGGCCTCAAGCATGCAAGGCAAGCACTCTACCACTGAGCCACATTCCCAGCCCTATATATACCTTTTGTAGCATGATGACTGAATGTAGAATTTCTTGTAACAGTTTTATGTTTTAATTGTTTTCTTTCTTCTTTAGTTTGCTTTCCTTGCTGTAATTTCTCTTCTCTTGGAATAGGTTTTTGTTCTTCATCTTTCTTTTGACATTCTCTCCACACTTCCAGTTCTTTAGTGGCTTTTCTCCGTTCATTTTCTTTCATATCTTCTATTTTTTTCCTCTCGTCTTCTTCAATCTGTAAAAATGGCAATGACCAAACCCTTTAAATCATTTTGAAGCAAGATTATAGTTATACAATAAGAAACTAAATATAAGTTTTCTTGCATTTAAACCCTTACCATCCCCTCCATAACATTAGTCATGAGTTCATTATCAAGAATTAACATAGGAGTGGGCACAGGTGGCTCATGCCTGTAATCCTAGCTACTCAGGAGCCTGAGATCTGAGATCACAGTTCAAAGCCAGTTAGCAGCAAAGTCCATGAGACTTTTATCTCCAATTAACCACCCCAAAACCAGAAGTGGAGCTATGGCTCAAGTGGTAGAGCACTAGCCTTGAGCAAACAAGCTGGGGGGGGAGGATATGGGGAGGTGGCAAGGCGGGGTGGGGGGGG